GTGCTACATGTGATTATTATCTGAGCATGTCTTGGGTTTGAATTAAGAGAACTAATTCAGAACGACAAAGATTGAAAGAGATAGAAAAAGATTCCTCTTGTTCAAGTAAATTAATTAGTTGGATTTATATGAGGAGACAGAAGGGAGGAAGCCAGGCTGTGTCCATATTAATAACTCACTTGGGAGAAGACAGATTGGATTGAAAGCAAACGACAATGGGGGGACACTGCGCCACAGTATAAGAGAAGTAACTTGCACTCCGTTGCCACCACCCCCCTCAACACACATCCTCATTCCTGACATGAAAATGATGTCATCTTTCTTTTTGACTCACCAACCAGACTGCATTAATCCCCTGCAGCGTGAGGGCCAGCAGGAGGTTGCTTAAGGGACTTCAGGCCTGTGAATAAATGATGACCCAGTGGTGAGGGGCGGCAGCCCAGATACATTCAGGATGCATTAAAGCAATTAGTTGGAAAAGGAGGAGGGAACAATTTCCAATCCCCAAGAAGGACCAGATCATGTTTGGAAGAGGGTGAGGAGCAGCTCCACAGCCCAGGGCCACTAGGAGCCACTTAGCAAAATGGCTGCATATGAAAAGCATGTGGAGTCTCACCCCCTTAGCCTTGTTTGATACTAATGCCATTTAGGGGGAAATTTAGGATCATCAGAGCTATGAAACTAATTACTTTTGCAAATCAATGTACTAGAACCAGTCTTGTCACAGTTGATTCCTAATCGTGGTAGGCACACTGTTGTCCTCCTGCTGAAACTGGCCCATGGATGCTTTTTGCTAGGCCAGATGTTTGCTGTGAGCCATTATTTAAAAAAAATTAAGAAACATCAATAAAACAGACAAGTCTGAAAATGCTAGGCCATTGGTTCCCCATGACCCCAATCTGCTGGAGCTGAGTGCCAGCATTCCTCTTATACCAGTCAGGTGTTCTCCAGCTTTCCACAGTCCTCACCACTCACTATTGCCTTATTCCCAACCCATCTCACTCATTTACTTGACTCATTTACATCTACCTAGGTTCCCGTAGGCATTTGAGTTTATGGCCTCTACTCTAAATGGCATCCGAGTTAGGTTCAGCCAGAAATAAAAGGTTAAATTCTAGACCTCCTGAGCATAGTTTGCACCAGGACACAGCTTGGTTCCTTCTCCTGCTTTAGCCTTACATGTGGGCCTAGCATAAACATTTTGTGAGGCTATTACCTTTAACAGAAGCAGCTCTGGATCCACCCTCGGTTGTTCCATCAGGGAAGGGAGGCTATGAAGTGATAATTAGAACAAAGGAATGTCTGCACATGATCTTAAATTCTATGACAACTGTAGATTTGGGCTGAGATGATGCCCACCAAATAAGAACAGTCAAAAATGTCACAAACTAAATAAAATGCCAGCCAAAGCAGCCTGCAAGATCCAGAAACTACTTGGCATATTTTGTGACACTCCTTTCATAGCAACATGTGATGTGAGAAGTAGCCCTTACAGGCAAGAACTGCCCAGTCCAATTCCATCCTTCTGATATCCCTGAATTGGCGCCAGCCTCTTCCCATGATGCTCCCTGCTTACTTACATTGATAAAGCTTTGTATAGATTTTCTTCTTGTTCAGATGAACTTCCCATTGGAAATGTCATTTAAAGACAAAAGAAAGAGCTCCAATGACTTTAAGAACCTGAATCATGCACGCCTCTTCTATGAAATTTCCTCCTTTTTCCCTCCCACCCGCCTCCAAACCCTCTGATGCTTTTCTCACTTCTAGCTTTTAATCTCTTCTTCTTCTTCCCAATCACTTAGCTCAAATGGGAATAAAGTGCTAAGTGGCTGCTCCCTCCCGCCTCTCAGCTGGGCCACATTTTGTGCTCTAAAAGGCATCTTCTAGGCTGCTGATGGCAGGAGAGCCTTGTGTCAGCAATCCCTGTGCTTAAACCTAGAGGACAAGGCATGACTTTAAAAGATGGCTGAGAAACCTGTGTGACTCCGTTGTCCCAAAAGAGGCCTTAACAGACTGCAGTAAAAAAAAAAAAAAGTACCTGGTGCAGGGTCAGAAAATGAATAATTCAAGCTTCCCTCACATGCTGAATTAACCTTGACTTATTTCATGCTTCCCCACCCCCACTACCCTGCAGCTTGCTTCTCTCCAGGCTGGAGCTGGCTAGAGTCACTCAGGTGTGTGTTTTAATCCCTCTAGGAAACTTCTGCTCTATTTGGATCACAGAAAGTGAGGGCAGTTGGATAAGCTTATGTCACCACCCTGCAGGAAGGGGTGTCATGTGGAAGCTGAGGTCAGTGACGAGTCTTTGGGTCACCAGCCACACCCATGGGAAATGATGGTAAAATGTCCTTCCATTAATATCGATAGCCAGAGGGGACTGCAACTTGCGATTCTGGAAATGTCCCTCTTCCTAGTTTCACAACACTCAAAGTTTTTCTTTGAAGACTTTTTCCCCAACTTCCTTATTCACATTACCACTACCAGCAGCAACGAACTCCTGCATCCTACCCTCAAATTTAAACCCCCACAAATTTTAAACCCACTTTCCAACTCATGGAAAGCAAATAGAAGTCGGTACTCCTGTCACTTTAAGTCACCTCCTCTACTCCACAAGACAATTACAGAGCATGTGGTGTTATCTTCTCCCTCATACAAATCCTTGGCCCAAAGCCATACAGGGAGACAAGGTCTATGAAAGCTCAATTTTCACCCAAATTGTGCACACAGACCTTTCTTCCCAAGGAACTCGGCAGGAAGCAGGAAGCTGGTCTGGAGGCACATGTGTGCATGTGCAAGGCTGGCAAAAAGGAGGACATAATTCCACCTGTGCACATGGTATGTTTCCTTAGTTATGGCTTAAAAAAATACATTGTGTCCTAAATGCAAATGCCATTGAAAGAAGATGGGTCAGGCCCAGCAGAGAAGAAGTCTGGGTTTTCCTTAAGAGACTCATTCTGTCATTATGGTAAATTTAATTTCTGTAAGAATTCTTTTCAACATGGCCCAGTAGAACTTTCCGCCATGAGAGAAATATTCCTTATCTGTGTTATCGCCAATATGACAGCCATTGGCCATTTGAATTGTGGCTGGTGGGACTGAAGAACTGTATCTCAAATTTTATTTCATTTTCATTTACATGTAAATAGTCACATGTAGCCAGCGGCTACTATGTTGGACAGTCCAGGACTGGATGTCAAAACATATCCTAGTCTATGCTTCATTACTTCCTTAACCAGGTTCAGTTATATCTAACTCCAGCATTTCCTCCAGAAATTCCTTCAGAATTATCAACAATTGAGGAAGGAAGCAAACACTGGATTAAGCTTCCTCTAAGAGCCAGGCCAAGGAAAGGTGGTTTCATGTGTGTTACTCATCCATGTTTGGTTGAAATAGCACAATTCTACTCTAAAAAAACATCACCTCCATTTTATAGCTGAGGGAAGTGAGGAGATAAGTTTCATTATGTAGTCTAAAATCATGAGATGAATAGCTGGTTGAATTGGAATTTGAGAGCCTTCGGGTCCAGTTCTTTCCACTATAAATAAGTGGTGTTATAACCCAAATCTACCCCCTTTTCACAGAAAAGGAACTGAATCACTGATTACAGAAGAAAGTTGAGGGGTCAGTGACATGCACAGATGTTTGTGATCTTTGGCTACAAGTTTCTTTCTGCTCCAATTGCAACTTTGAAAGTAGTCAAAGAAGCATTCAATGAATATCCACTTCTTGGTGCCAATGTGACGGGCAGATCTTTGAAATCAGTTCCAAGCCTCTCTCATGGCTACTGAAAGATGTTTGAGACTGAAAGACACTCAGGAGGAAGAGGCACATATTAGGGGGAAAAAAGTGTCCAGAGCAAGATATTCAAGATATTTCCATCAAATGTCCTAAATGTCAGGGAGAAAGAACCCTTTATCCAAAATAACTCGATGTCTTGTCTCTGGGAGAAAGTAGGAGAATCGCCAAGGTTGGGCAGTTTCTGTGGAAGGAGGTATTTTCCCTTCCCAGGCTGCCACTGGACCCCCTGGCTACAGCACTAACCAGGAAGATGGTTTTTCTCTGCAGGTAGCCATTCACCCCAGACATTTCCTAGAAGGTGATGTTGATTGTAATTAGAGCCTCATCTCAGAGATGGGGGTTTATCTCAATTCCCAGGCCCGCAAATGCAGCTGGTGGCTGGGAAGCAGCCGCCTGACACTGTCTCCAGAGAGAGTCTCAGCTGCTGTTGCTCTCTAGAATCATCGCTTGGTTTAGTATCCAGGGTAAAGGTTGGTTGTGGGGGGGAGGGAGAAGGCCATAGCACAGGTAACTTTTCACGGCATGTGTCTGCCCCTACCCGAGCAGCAGACCTCAGCTGCTCCCTGGTCTCTGGCTGGCTGTTCACTTTCTACACCAATGGGCTTTGAGGTGACAAGTTCACTTCCCAGTTCTGTCAAACCTGCATTTTCCTCCCTGACCTACTTTCCCCACTATGCAGTGTTGGTTGGAACAATGCCTCACTCTGTTCCCTGTTTAGACCCATCTTTCGCCTGAGCTAGTGCACAAGCCCGAGTCTTTGCCAGGCTTTTTGCCTTGAATCCCTGACAAGTGTTGATGGAAAAGAAAAAAGGAAAAGAAAAAAAAAATATCCTCTCACAAAACGGAGTTTAGCTCTCCACAGATGCCCAGATTGCGGCGGGAGTAAAAGCTCCTGTTGGTAAGGAAAGACATCAAAAGGTTACACTTCTTCATTCAGCACCTCTCCCCTCCACCCCTCACCCCACTCCTGCTCCCA